TGTCAATAGAGGGCTAAGGAGCATTTCGTTCGGGGATGGTCTTTATGAAACTGGCTCTCGGGTGCGGTTCCTAAATGGTATAAACCTGTCCCTGTCACCCCGATGCTGATGAGAAACATGCCCCATCCTGCCAGCCACATCCCACCCACGGGTGAGCCCACACGTTCCTGGTTAGGTCAAGGTCTATTACTAGACCAGCATCCTAGCTTCAAACGAGCCAGATTTGCATTAATACCAGGCCTGTGAACTACTTAGAGGCATACACACACACTCTTTTAAAATACTGACTGACCCCAATGACTGCCTTTTGGACTGAAGATCTTCAGTTCTCCCATGCAGTGTGAAGTGAAAACTTTGCCTGGGCTATCACATTTTCCCCAGAGAAAAAAAGGAAGGGGGGTTGTCCTCCTAATCTAGGTATTAAACTCGCTGGTGGTGGAGCGTGAAATGGAGATTTTTCTCCTCAAAATTTGACCAAGATGATTACAACTGCTTTGCATTTTAACCTGGCCACTGGTCACTCTTCATACTGCAAAATCTCTGGGATACAGCTAGCCTGTCCGCATTAGAGATGGTGACTGGACCCATCTCTTGAGCATGCCATGCCTTTTAACTTCGGTTTCTTCTTAAAATCTTGTGGGAACCCTAAGAATAACTGTTTGTACGGCTGTAACATCTGGTGACGGTGGCACCGCTGTGCCCAGCTCCATGCGGGGACCTCTCCTGGGGACAGAGTCCCTAAGGCTTGTGAATAGGTGCTCTTAATGAGAAGGCAGGTGGGAGCAGCGGCAGGGGAGAATGTGCAGGAGAGGGAGTTCATATGTGGAAGTGCAGGGATAAAAACGCCAGGCAAGGATAAAACGGTTTTTAATAAAGGTCTGTTTTAAGGATTAGGTGGAGGTGAGCGATTCTTAGCCTTGGTAGCATGTAACAGTGCAAATCAAATCTCACCTCGTGGATACAACGGCCCAATTGTGCAAAATTTGCACCATCGTGGGAATGAAGCTGGTATCTAGCTACGCTTTTCAGTAAAACCCCGCTAATATTACGTAATTACTTAGATTTCTAAAATTATTAGTCATACGCTTTTAGTTAGCAGATTAGGCTGTCATTTTCCTTAAATTAAAATTTTAATGTGATGGGCTTGCAGTATCACTGGAATAACAAATTAAATGTCGCCAGGGAAGAGTAATAGCGGGGTGGAAACCCCCCCATTATGACATTTAAAAAATGAGGGAAAAATATCAGCACAGCTTTTATGAACACCACAGGCCCTGTACCTGTGGGAAAGGGAAAGAAAGGGGTATTGAACAGGGAAGATCTTGAATCTCAAATTCCTCTAGACAACAAATATAGAAAATCCTTCAACATGGAAGCAGTGACGAAGCGCTGTTCACTTTAGCATTCCTTTATTGTTCAGGCCAGGGGCTAGCTTTTCAAGCTCTTGGTATAAATATAAACCATTTGTTTGTTAGAGATAAAAATTCTAACAACTGGCCATCATGCTGTCTTAAGGTTACTAATCTCTCTGCATTAACTTTAATCATCAGATGTTTTTGAAGAGAGAAGTGAGACCAATTCCCCGAGGGTTTTCTGAATCCAAATCTCATTTTTCAAATTTTGTAAATGATATGCAGAGCTGAAATTAAAAAGCCTTTGAAATGAAATATTGATAGATAAGAAGACAGTCCCTGAGCTAAAGAACTGTACTGATGCATACCGCAACTCTTTAATAGCTGCATAGTTAAGGAAAGCAAATTGTTTTGTATGAAGAAATGCTTTTCTTTGTACAGTCAAAATTTATTATGAAAAAGCGAGCTGAAGGGACACTTCTGCTTTACCAAATGAATCCTAATGCCCTTTAAAGTATATATATGAAAGGTGATTAATCTCAAGCACGTAAAATTAACCTTTTCAGAAAAGGAGGAAAATAAGTCCTTTCTGTTCACATAATCTGAAGATTAGGCTACAGTGTTTGGTGAGAAGTAAAGAACAGTAAAAGTGCCCCAGAGAAGGCGGAGGAGCTGTGGTAGTGGCCAAGTCAGGCTAACAAAGACCTGCTGCTGCTGCTGCTTTGTGCCAGGGTAAAACCCGTCAGAGCTCAGCACCTTGGGAATCCGTCCTGGTTTAAGATTTTATTCAGCACAGTGCACTCAGACAGAGAATTTGAGACGTAAGCCGCAGTTCAGGAGATCAATTACTGGTTTTCATTCTGCTATTATTCCTAAGGGTGCATTTGCAATGTAATTAATTTTCATGTAGGGTTCTTCCATCCCCCCCATTGACACTTCCCTAGTAAAAGTATCTGCTCTGCTAGATTCATGTCTTCACTTGGCTTTAATCTTATGGGCTGAGATCCATCTCTATTCGTAGCAAAGCTGTCTAAGAGCACTCTGTTTAAAGCTCGGGCAGAGGAATTGCCAAGATTAACAGCCTCCATGGAAACAGGGTAGGGGGGAGCGGGGAAATAGGGCTTGACCTCCAGTGGACAAGCTATACTCAGACACGATCCCAAAGGATTTTCATGGGACCCTCTTGTAGCTTTGCTCGTAGCAGCGTTGTCTTTCTCACTGAACATCTCATTCCTCGGTAGCAGAGGTACAGAAGCTTCCTGCGGTTGGATGCTGCTAAAATAAACATGCCCCTGACATGCGGTAATTCACACAAACAGTATTTACGTGGCCTGAGAAGTGGTGCTGCACATCCTGCTTGCTGGTGTGTCCTTGGCTGGTCTGGGAGGGGACATCAAATCTTTGTAGTGGGAAGTTTGGGATCTGCAGGTCCTGGGGGAAGAAGAGAGGGCAGAAGGCTGGATTTATTCATTAAATCATTGCCATCCAGTTGGCCCTCAGCTTTACTGAAGTCTGAAATGTCACAGGCTAAACGAGACAGCTAAAGTCTCCTGCATATGTGTGCTCTTACCCTTCTGTCTGGAAGCACGCTGGGAAAATAGGGCTACTTAGCAGAGGAGCCAATTCAGCACTGTTTTGAAACTTTTCTTTTTATTTCAGGCAAACTTGTGCTTTGTGGACATCGATAACCATTTCATCGAACTGCCAGAGGAATTCCCCCAGTTCCCCAACAAGCTGGAGTTTATCCAGGAAATCTCTGAAGTTCTCCTGCAGTTTGGGATCCCGCCGGAGGGTAACCTGCACTGCAGCGACAGTGCCACCAAACTCAAGAACCTGGTTCTTAGTGACTTGGTGAATGACAAGAATGGGAACATCCCCGGCAATGCCCTCAACATGTATGAGTTGCTGAAAGGCAACGAGACGATCGCCCGTCTGCAAGCCCTCGCCAAGAGAACGGGCGTGACGATGGAAAAAATGACCATCACTGCTCCCCTCGTGGACAAGGAGAAGGATGGCAAATTGCCGTGTGAGGAGATGGAGCTGAGGGACTACAAACTGAATGTGCAGCTCCGCGAGGTTTTCGCCAACCGCTTCACACAGATGTTTGCAGACTACGAGGCTTTCGTCATTCAGGCTGCCCCCGATATGGAGTCCTGGCTGACAAACAGGGAACAAATGCAAAACTTTGACAAAGTAAAGATAGCCCTGTATTCATTTTTCCATCTGAAAGTGCTTTTGGGAGGGAAGGAGAACAGCTGTATTGTGTATATATAGTCTAGGTGCTCTTTAATCCGTCATTCTTCATCTGCCTCACTGAGAGATTTGTCCGTTTTGATTACACAGGGCCAGATCGCCTGCCAAAGTAAATCGGTGCAGATCCAAAGAGCCAGTCAGAGCCGTCCTGGCTTGTACGAACCGGGCTGGCAGGCTTCAGCCCAGCTGATGGAGTTTCTCCTGTGGCTTTGGTGGAAGGGTAGCAGTGGAAAGGGACTCTTTTTTTCTTTTTTGGTTGCTGAGAGGAGAGGTGCACACATGAGAGACAAACCAAATCCAGTCTTTCTTGTTTCCTAATCTCACAGTAGAGCTTTTTGTTAATGGGTAGTGTTGTTCTGTAGACGGTTATCACATCCTTACAGCAGAAGAGTACTGTTATGACTCCATTGTAGTGTATACACAAGAGTGAAAAGGAAGCTGAGATTAAAAATGGGGAAATAAAGAGTCTGTAGGCTAGAAAAAGGAATGAGAAATGTTGGGAAGCTTGCACAGTTATTATTTCCAAGTGACTGTGCAACGTAGATAGCGCTCTTAGCCATCAGCTTTCTCAGATACAAGTCGTTCTCTAAGGGAAACGGTAGAAGGATAAACAGTCAGGAACAAACTAAATATTGATCTGAGTCAGGTTTTGATAAAAAAAAAAAAAATGCTGCCATGCCTTTTATTGGTCTTGTTTGTATTCAGGCACTGAACAGTGCAGCATTCAAAAGGAGGGGGTTGTTTAGTCAATCTCTGCTAGTACTTTCGCAATAAGAAAATGGGCTGTTAAGGTCAGGGCTTTCAAAGCTCACTTAGAGGCTGAGGCACACACTCAGTTTTAATTTGAAATTCATTATTAATTGCCCTGTGTAACTTCACAAAAGAGCATTAGCTGCAGAGCACTGTACATCCCTTGATACATGTGACACCTCAATGAGTGATCTGGTCCCAAGCAGGGATGAGCAGACCAGAGGTCCCAAGTGGGCGCATGTGGTGGTGGTCTGCCACGGGTTGCACAGGGCTCGTTCCTGCGGGTGGTAGCTGCTAGGTTGCTTAGAAAAAGCTGGCAGCACGGGCACTACTTCAGTTATTCTGTATTCCCTTTACTCTGGCTGTCACGAAGCCTCCCTGACTGCTTATTTCTCACAGCTGTGACCAAAGAGGTGACCCGTGAACCAAACCCCTTCGTAGATGGATTCACACCTCTCTGAGAGGTGGTTTTGTGGTGGGGAAGCCTTGTCCAAGCCTTCCCGTTGGCTGCTGGATCGCTCCTCTGCCACAGGAAGGCTCATCATGTCAACGCCGGGCGGGAACGTGGCACTAACGAGCTGTTCTGTATTTCAGGCTTCCTTCCTTTCGGACCAACCTGAGCCTTACCTCCCATTCCTTTCACACTTCATCGAAACACAGATGTTTGCAACCTTCATAGACAATAAGATAATCTCCCAATGGGAAGAGAAGGACCCTTTTCTGCGAGTTTTTGACTCCCGAATTGAGAAAATAAGGCTATATAACGTAAGGGCCCCTGCACTGCGGACATCCAACTATCAGAAATGCAGCACTTTGAAAGAAGCAGGTACGTTCAGATGGGCTAGTAAAATATTCAAAAGTACAATGTCAGCCACAAAGAAATATAGGTCCTCAGTCATCTGAGCGTTGCAGCTGACGAGGAAGCCCCAGAGCTACCTGAGGAGGACCCAGCCGTGTCCTTATTTTCCCTAGGCAAAAACTTCAGGATGCTTTTAAACACCAAAACCAGCAGGAGCCTTTACCTTCCCTTCAAGCTCTCCTAGGCTGGTGCCTTTAATAAACACAAACCAAACCACGGAGCTGGGCTCGCCATTTCTCATTTGAGGCAGCTCCTGTTCCATTGCCAGCAGAGCTTTCCTTCACCGTGGTGGTGGGACCAGCGCCAGCCACACGGAGGAACCGAGCCCTGGTGTCTGCTCCACTGGCCTCGCCCCCCCTTCCCATAAAAAGACCTTTTTTAGCCTTACACCATTTGGTTAGAGCAGCAGGGGATGCTGGGGACATAATCCTGTGTGGCATATTTAGCAGCTCCAGCAATAGATGCTCAGTGTTAATGAACAATACGCTGTGTACTGAAGACATGGATTTTTTCCCATTACTGTCACGAGATGCGTCTCCAAATTATACTTGAGTTTCTTAATGTGCAAGTATTTATTTCATTTACAAGTAATACAGGGAAATTATACTCTTAAATTTGCTGGGACACATATTAATGAATGGGGACAAATGCATTTCTCATGAGGTTTTTTTTTGTTTAATTCTTTCAGAGTTGTTTTACTTGTTACAAATGTGGCAGAAATGGAAATTCTGTGTCTGCTTAACTTTTTCTGTCTAAAACCAATTCTAATTTGCAGGTCGACTGTCCATTCAGCGTCTAGTTTTGGTAGATATTGTGGCACCGGAACCTCATTTTCTGTCTTGTGAAAAGCAGCAAACTGATAGTAATACCACCTTTTCCTTCGTATTTACCATTCGCAATATATGTGACCCTCACACCAACCCAGCACCTGTTTGTTTAACCTACAATTTTCAGAACCCTTCAAATCCTCTGACCCCACGCTACCCAGTTCTTTTCCCCAAAATAAAACCATATGAAGCAGTTGGTTTTGGTTTTTTTTAGAGGGGAAAAAAAGAAGCTGCAGAGTTTCTAATGATAATGTATGTAAATCTTATGACAGTTTCTTTCCCATCACAGTTTTATAAAAAGAGGAAATGAGTTCTGTGTTGTTCTTGACAAATGGAAAATGAATTTAGCTCCCACATTTTGCATATTTATTCACTAGTTGTGATATGCTGAAAAGAACGGGCCTGCCCGTTAATGCATGGGCTATAAGTAGTTGAATATTCAAGTTGCTAATTAAATGCTGATTTCCCCCATACACCTCGTTTCCCCTCTCCTTCACAGTGCATCTGACTCAATGTTGAGAGGGTGACAGATTTTATTTTCATCCTGCTTGAGATTTGAGATGAAATCCTCACGTCCTTGAAGCAAACGACTGAACCGCATTAGTCTCAGCAGAGCTGAGATTCCTGGGGAGCCCTCTCTGGTCTTGCTGTAGCCTCCCCTGTTTCCAAGCATCTGTTCATAGTCTTGATGCTGCTCAGGCCTTGCTGCAGTTAGCTGTGCTTTTTGAAGGCCTGTCATCCAGTACTGGCATATCTAGTTTCGGGAGGAGGATCTTTATAGGTGCCAGGTGTTTGCAAAACTCGAGTATTGCCCCACCACGTGTCTGCCCAAGGAGATGTGTCTGGGGCAAAGCGAGCTGCCTGACCCACGGAGCGTTGCAGCCAGCCTTGGAGGCCTCCATTCTGCCAAAGGAGCATTAAAGCCAAGCACCGAATTGCACGGAAAGATCGTGCTGCTCTTGCCGATGGATAACCCATCTCGCAGGCTCCCATAAAGACCTGCTTGCTTAACGGCTAACTTGCTTGTGCCAATGCCGGTTGTGTAGGGTGAAGAAACTAAAAGCAAAATAACAAACTAACAGCACAGGTGTTTCATCACTTCCGTAGGCGACAGATTTCTGGGTCACTCTTTAACTTCCTAGAGTGTTTCCAGGGATGGGAGCATGACCACTTCTGTTGTCGTAGCACATGTCTTTGGGTGGATGGCTAACGCGGTTGCTCACCTGTGACTGTAACTTGCAGCCCAGTCCATCGAGCAGCGGCTGATGAAGATCGACCACACAGCCATCCACCCGCACTTACTTGATATGAAGATCGGCCAAGGGAAATATGAACAAGGATTCTTCCCGAAGTTGCAGTCTGATGTCTTGGCAACGGGACCTACCAATAACAAGTAAGCACAGGTTTTATTTTCTGGATCTGAGTGCAGGTTTGTCATATAAAAGATTCACGTCACCGGACAGTAGTCCTGATTCTGGCTGGCTTCTGGCTGGTCTAATGAACCCTAGCAACTCTTTTCATTTCTGGTTTGTTCAGGCTGTGATTTTGAAGTTACAGCCATAATTTGGGTTACGTTAGAAGGTGTTAGTTCTGTTTTGGGGAAGACTCCTCAGTACTATTTCCTGTTGAGTGGTAAGTACCGTGTCTTCTCATACGTATTTTTAGTTTTCTCATTGCTGTAATAAATTTAAAATTTGTTGCCTTGCTGCTTTGCGCTGAATAGGATAATTTGGAAACCCAAGCCAAAATTCAGATTCTGAAAGAAATTTTGGTACTGAAGCCTCCACATCGTCATGCAGAATGAAATTAATGCCCACTCTGTTCTTCTCTTTTCTTTAGTTGTTATTACACGCCCCCAAGATTTTTATAGCTCTGTTTCAGTTTCCATGTTGGACTAACAGAGAAGAATAACTTGGTGAGGGTAGAAAGTTTGTGGTTCTGTACCTGGATTACTCTTCTCAGTCTGATAGGGTTCTGTAGTGCGCTTTCATACGAAGGTAGGGGTACCTACAGCTGTGGAATCAAGCATATCATTACATAGTTCATTTGCCTAATGTAAAATGAGAACCTGGAGCAACTAATACACTTGACATTTATACAGTTATAATATAAAGTAAGTGTTGTAAGTTACTTACTTTTTCTTCCCTCAAGTTTTTCTTCCCCTTCAAAAATGGAAGATCTGTGCATCAGTGACTTCACTGAAATTATCAGCTCAGGCTTCCAGTTTCTGTGGTAGCTCAAAATGGGAGCAGAGATAAATCCGAGAGCTCCAAAAGCTACAATTGTCCAAATGTTAAAGCTAGCTTTTGTTTTAGACAAGTGCACGCACACAGGCTGCTCTGAGCTCCTCTATGAGGTGCCCACTCAATTCTATTTATAGACCTTTTGTGCACCCCAGTGCTGGCTGATCCCTTTTTAATAACCTACTAGGCATAAGACTTGCAAATGACAAAATAAGAAATCCTTAAGCATCAAACGTGTAAAGAATTGCAAATCTTTAAAAGAAATAAAAAATAAAAGGGGGAATTCATATTTCAAAGTTCCTTTGTTTGCAGTCTTCTTGCAAACCACGACAGAAGTTTACGGGTAATGCTTCCTTGAGGAATGGGGGATTTCTTCATCTTGTGGGATGCTGTGTTTAGCAGTCTGCCTCTTACCCTTATGGTGGGGTTCGGTTTTACAGTGTCAGCGCCAGTGTGAGTGTGCCCAGCCTGCTTGCTTATAGCTTCTGGCTCTATTGCAGCATCTTAGTGAATCTATGAATAAGCGTCAAATTAAAAATAGTTTTTCTTATGCCTTTTGAGAGACTTCTGTTAGATTGGTACCTATTCTAAAATATGGCCTTAACTCCTTGAGTGATAATTTTGATTTAGATAGCTGGTTTTAGTCTTCAGATTGCAGCATGTTTCAGAATTTGTAAGTACCGAAATCCCATTACTTACCGCAAAGCAGTGTCAAAGTGACAAATGCTTGGAATTCCTCCAGCTGTATATTGCCAAAAAGGTTTGTAATTGGAAAATCTCAAGACCATCTGTTTATATCTTTCTGCTTCCTGGCTTTTTATGCAAGCAGCTGAGAGGACTCTCTCTCTCTCTCTCATATAAGACGTGTAATTCTGCTGAATTTACACCCACGTATAAAAAAGATAGCCTTTTCATGCTCCCTGCAAATACATCATAATTCTTTTGACCACAAAAATCAATTGAAGTATAGCCTTCCATTAATTTGAATTTCCCAGGGTATGCTTCTTGGGGGTGTGTTGTGCTTGCATACGGGACTGGGCCTTTGCATGTGGGGATGGGGGAAGAGAACATTTCAGCTACGCTCCCAGGCACCGCTCCCAGGCACCTCACACGTGGCTGTTGTGTGTGCTCATAAAGTTAATGCAAAGGATATTGGGATGTAGATAGGCATTATTTTTGCAGACTTCAGTTCTACGTAGCAAATTTTGTCCTGAATGTTGTAAGGAAGTGTATTGGCGGGGGGGGGG